AAAAAAAAAAAAAAAAAAAAAAAAAAAAAAAAAAAAAAAAAAAAGGGGGGGGGGGGGGGGGGTATGCTCAAAATAGAAAGCGAACTCTTTAATAGAGAAATATCAGCAGCATCTGTTTAGTGTTTACTACTTTCTGTACGCCCAGAATGCTTCATTCATGAACCCTCATCAGATCTCACAATATACGTGCGACTATAATCACATGCATATGCAAAGATTGGTACAGTGTTGTACGCATATATGTTTTTGTTTGTTTAGTTTCTTCCATTTTTCTTTTTCTTTTCTTTTATTTTTTTGACTTTTTAGTCATTTATTAATGGCTGGCCTAGAAGCAAGCGGTGGGAATATTAAGGTATTTCCATGGCTAAAGTCTTTGCCAGTAGCTCCAGAGTACCACCCAACCCTAGCTGAGTTCCAAGATCCGATTGCTTACATTTTCAAGATTGAAAAGGAAGCCTCCAAATATGGGATTTGCAAAATAGTTCCTCCTGTGCTCGCACCGTCTAAGAAGACTGTCATTGCTAATTTGAACAGGTCACTTTTGGCCCTGTCCAATGATTTGAACCCCGCGCCGACTTTCACCACTCGGCAGCAGCAGATCGGATTCTGCCCGAGGAAGCACCGACCGGTGCAGAAACCCGTCTGGCAGAGTGGGGAGAATTACACTGTTTTAGAATTCGAGGCGATGGCCAAGAATTTTGAGAAGAGCTATTTGAAGAAGTATGGGAAGAAAGGGCTGAATGCGTTGGAAGTTGAGACCCTTTATTGGAAGGCAACTGTGGACAAGCCCTTTTCAGTGGAGTACGCAAATGACATGCCCGGGTCTGCATTTGTAGTGAAGAAGGTTGGTGGGAAGGGGATTGAGGACCCATTGACGGTGGGGGAGACGGAGTGGAATATGAGGGGGGTTTCAAGGTCGAAAAGCTCCTTGTTAAGGTTCATGAAGGAGGAAATTCCCGGGGTAACTTCACCCATGGTGTACATTGCTATGATGTTTAGTTGGTTTGCTTGGCATGTGGAAGATCATGACCTTCATAGTTTGAATTATATGCACATTGGTGCGGGAAAGACATGGTATGGTGTGCCTAGGGAGGTGGCTGTCGCATTTGAGGAGGTGATCCGGGTGCAGGGATATGGCGGAGAGATAAATCCTCTTGGTGAGTTAGTAGTTAACTCGTCGAAGCAGATACATGTAGTTGAAATTTAGTATCATTTGTTTACAACGTTCATATTGACAAAGCATATGTTCTATTTTACATGTGCTTAGAAGTGTAATGGGTGAACATTATTAAATGTAGGATATTTTAGTGGATAACTTTTATTGTTGAAATTGCCTAATATGCTTCTGCCTTCTCATTTAATATAATTTTGGCTGTAAATGGATATGTTCTGTTCTACATTCTCGTGGGTAGTGTTGTGTGCATGTATATGGTAAATCGGTAATCTTAGGTGCTAGTTTTATTTCGAGTCCACCACAAATTGCTGTGTGGAAAGGGTGTTGATTATAGTGCTATTACAAGTTAAAGACCTTGCTTGATTATTTACATGAAATAATAATGGTCCTTTCGAAACCAAGAACATAATATTTGAACTCTTGAACATACCAAAGTTTTAGAACAATGTGAAATCAGCAGGTATTCGGTTACTGCTATAATAGATTCTATTCGCATGCTCAGTTAATGTTTATCCATCCTTCAAATGAACTTTATCGGTATGCATTTTCTTTCAGTTACTTTTGCTACACTTGCTGAGAAGAACACAGTCATGTCACCTGAAGTACTTGTTAATGCCGGTGTTCCATGCTGCAGGTGACAATTTAATATGGCATCTTGTTCTTTATATTATTCGCCTGCTACAAATTAATTTCACTCGCATCTGGAAAAGGCCTACATTGCCAGGTTCTCATAGTTTCTGTCACTCTTAGACTGTTCTAGGTACCTCTTTCACCAATTTAAGAAATTAAACGAAGGTAAATTGTTATATGTAACTGGCGAATCAACTTTAATATTCAATTTCATGCCCTGCTTCTTTAATGCTTTGAGCCTTTTGAGTAATGTCTGGAAATTATCTGGGGATCTCTTGCTTCCTGGTATTTTGATTTAGGTTGGTGCAAAATGCTGGAGAATTTGTTGTCACTTTCCCAAGAGCCTATCACTCAGGGTTTAGTCATGGTACTACATTTTCTTCTGCTTAATCCCATTTAATGTTGAGTTATGAAGGTATATTTATATTGTTAGTATGATCTTTCAATTTAGGATTTAATTGTGGAGAGGCAGCTAACATTGCTACTCCTGAATGGTTGAGGATTGCAAATGATGCTGCTGTTCGTAGGGCATCAATTAATTGTTCTCCAATGGTGTCTCACTTCCAGTTACTGTATGACCTGGCACTTTCATTATGTTCAAGGTTTGATTCCTCGCTATAGCTGAATTTCTGTAGAGTTCTGCAGTACCCTGAATTTTTTAAAAGCCTTCCAATTGGTTATGCCTCAGTGGTTTTTGGTTCAAACCCAGAGATAATGTAGTTTTATTGAAGTCTAAATTATAACCCTGAAGCTGAGAATGCTAAGGCTAGAAAAAGTGCCATATCCCAACGCTGACTCTTTAAATTGGTACAAATTTATACGCCCAGACACTATTCTTTGTGGTTCCCAACCAAATGATTGCCGAGCGTTCTTCACGATGTCTTGGGAATATTGCTTCCGACATTTCAAGAATAATAACATTTGTACATACAAACAAAGAACTATTGTTTTTATTTACTTTTCCTGGTGTTACTTATGTTTCACCATCTTGCTCCATTAACACGTGATTTCCATTTTTAATTCTTGAATTAACACGCATGCTTGAAAAATCCCTCCTCTTGTAAGTCGGGTATACTATTTTGTACAAACAATTTAATGTTCAATCTCTGTTCCAATAGTTCAGCCTATATATGGTACAGTGCTGCTCTTGATAATTTAGCCACCAATCTCCACACCATATGTTTTGTTATGGCCTTATTACGTGAAGAAATGTTTCTTTGCTGAAGCTTTCACTCAAATGTATAACAGAATGGATTAGTATTTGTTTTGGGGAAGTTTTGTGTCATGTTATATGTACATGGGGTAGCTATTGTTGCCTCGAGTGCATTTCTGTCAATTAGTGCCATTATTGCTAAGAGAAACAAAATAAAATCATGTGGCTTATGCATAAATCTATGTACTGCTATTGACTTATTATCACTTATGAATTTTGTTCGTCGTCATTTTGTATTTCTATTGCTGCAGCTTATCAAAGAGCATTTGTGTGGAACCACGGAGTTCCCGGTTAAAGGATAAAAAGAAAAGTGAAGGAGAAATATTGATCAAAGAGCTATTTTCGCAGGATGTGATGCTGAACAACAATACACTTCATATTCTTGGAAAAGGATCTGCCGTTGTAGTTCTTCCTCAAAATTCTTTAAGCAGTTCAAATTTACAACGTGGAACCCTGTCAGCAACCAGATCTAGATTGTTCTCCAGATTTTGCAGTCCTGATCTCGAGTTTAAAGTTACAAAAAGTATTGTTTGTGAGGATGTCACGTTGGACAGGAACCAAGAAGTGGGGGAAGTGAGAGGCTATCCAGTAAAAGGGAAAGTTTATTCTTTGTGCAATGGTAGCGAGTTTCCCTCTTTAGCTCCTCAGACAGGAAATGCTGACTCTGATGTAAAACGAGCTTCCCAATTTGATAGATTGTCAGATAAGGGACTATTTTCATGTATCACTTGTGGTATTTTGTGCTTTGCCTGTTTTGCGATAGTTCAACCGACAGAAGCTGCTGCTAGTTATCTAATGTCAGCTGATTGTAGTATCTTCAATGATTGGGAAGCAGCTGGCAATGGCTACAACCTCTGCACTGGAGATGTAATGAATCCCCATTCAGGTATCTTCTATAAAACCATACATACTGGCTGGACCATATGGATGGGGTTTCTTTACATATATTTTTAGCCTTTTGTAATTGGATTCTGTAGATGATGTATCTTATTCATGGATGTGGTGTGCATAACTCTCTCTCTCTCTCTCTCTCTCTCTCTCTGAGCTCACATTTGTGTTGGATAACATATATGCTACACTTGAAAATATAGATGCATAAATCTCGTGGCGTATCTGTATACAAAGTAAACACGTGCTTGGGTCAGATTTAGAGCATGTTTGGCTTAAAAGTTAACTTTCTAGAACAATAAGTTTATGAATAAAAAAAGTGACTTTGAAAATCATGTTTGCCAAATTTTCTTAAAACTAAGTTTGACATGCTCTTAAGCACAGCTAAAATGCACTAGTTTCATGACCAATGAAGAATTTATCTCACCTGAGAGTGGTTATGTTGACTTGTGTTCTGACCATCTATCAGAGAAGAAAGAACAAACGGATCTTGTAGGATTCCCAAGAAATTCTTTGATTTCTTCCTCCAGTAGATGATTAATTATCTGCTTCTCACGTTCCGTGAATAGCCGGGACATTGAGGAATATTTAGAAAGGCATTTCGGAATCATCCGCTTCTCACGTTCCGTGAATAGCCGGGACATTGAAAAATATCTAGAAAAGCATTTCAGGAATCGGTTTAATTCTATCTCTGTTTGTTCCTTCCGTCTGAAGAAAGCCCCATTAAGATTTTACCACTCCGCAAAGTAGACCCTCTTTCAAGATTGATGCATTATATAGACAAGAAATTTAGTGCTCTTCTGATGATGTTTATTTCAAAGATAATCAGTGGAAGATATATGTAGTGTTAATTGGAAGATAATTAATAGAAGATATGGACTAGAAAAGAATACTTGATTTTGATTTCTAGTTAAATCACTAAATAAATAAGACCCTGCTTATTGTTTTCGACTTGTACTGCATATGATTTAGTATAATTTATAGATTCCAGGTCATGCCTTCTCAGGATGCACTGATATAGATAGCATTATTGTAACCCAAAAAATATGGATTTGGTGTTCTCAAAATCTTTAGAATACGTAAGAAGTAAAAAGTACGAATATAAGTATATAAATATATCCATAGTGTAAAATTTCGAATATGCCATTCAGCTGAAGCAACCTCCCACCAAAATAATATATTGCTTATAATTAGCGTCTCAAAATCAAACATTTAAATAAATATAACTTTTCTTTATTTACTCTGTAATATTTTATGCAAAGAAGCTAAGTATCAGATTTCTAGAACTAGCAAAATTGTTCAGCGATTTATATGTGGAAATCCTTAAATATGTTTCTCCATAAGCTAAGAGAACAATGGTAATCAAAAGAAATACACAAGGATTTGTATCGAAATGGATTCAATTCAATCACTGAGCAGTTGATTCAATATTTGTTCTTTAAATGCTTATTATTGATAAAAAATTATCTGAAAAAATCTTGTCTTTGCAGAACACTTAAATTTTTAATACAAGATGTGTGCTTGCTGTGTCCGAAATGTGTCCGTGTATCCACAGAGTACCCCAACATTATATCTGCTATTAAGAATATTTTTTATGCATACTGGACGTTTAACCAAGTATCTTATAACAAGGGAGTTTTGAAGTATCCATGCTTCCTAGCTTCCTTTGTTGTGCTCAAACCAAAGAATTCGCCTGTGAATTCTAATTTGAACTTTTTGTTTAGTTGCAGGATCTGTTCTTAAAAGGACACCACGCGGACTATTTGATGTCCCAGTAGGTTCTGCTGCTCAAATTGGAATGGTAAATGATGATAGAGCGATGGTTGTTTCAAATAGTAAAACACAAAAGGATACCTCTGCCCTCGGCCTATTGGCTCTGATGTATGATGATTCCTCCGACTTTGAGGAGGAAGAGGTTGAATTACATATTCCTGTCAAAGACCCCGAAACTAAAGGAAGTGATTGCACTGAAGGTGTACACTACAGTAAAAAACTTGGCTATACCCAAATTGACGGTGGGAATGAGGTTCCTATCAAAATTTCCAATTCTTTTGCAAAGCATGGCCCAGTCAGAGAGGAAAATAAGGATATAGTGTATCAAAGTTTAGATTATTCCAATGAGATTGAAATCGACAAGTGTAAATTAGTTGACTCAAATTCTTTAACGCATAGTTTTAGAAATTTAACAAAATTACAGAACAGCACATCGAATTGTAACCCTGTTGCTGGTAAGGAAGAAGAGACAATTAGCACTGCTTTGGTACCATTAGAGAAGACAACTACGTCTTTTGCTTCACGATCTGACAAAGAATCTTCTAGAATGCATGTCTTCTGCCTTCAGCATGCTGTACAAGTAGAACAGCGGCTCAATTCATTTGGAGGAGCACGCATTTTCCTTGTCAGTCATCCAGGTGAGATGTGATTTATTTTTTAATCATATAGTCCTCACTACCTTTGGTGCATGTGTGGTACGCTGTAATGGATGATGGAACAAGATTTGTGCTTTTTTTCTTAATATTGTCCAATCTTTCCATTGTAACATGTTTTTCAGGGTTAATTATCTTTTCATCATTCTGGTTTCTTTTGAGTCATTATGTTGGGCTAAAATGAATAAAAAAGGGAAATATCCCATGACAGTTTGTGGTTACTTCTCCAAATTTGGAAGACATTTTTTCAGCATAAATTCATTTGACATGATCTGTTAATTTGGACTGTCTCAATAATTTGAGAACTCATAGTTGAATGATTCGTAATTGTCAATAGACTTGTTACACACTCATGGAATGGAAAAATGGGATTGATCGTTGACTCTTAGTATCCAAATGTCGCATCCCCCTCAAGCCTTACCACTACAAACAAAAACATTAAAATGAAATAATACTATAAATACTCTAAACGATCATATTTGCTTTATGTAGCCCAATGATCCTGCATTTCAAGCTTTCCATGTGAAGTGCTGTCTTTCCTTCTTCCTTTCATGTAACAGCTTATGTTTTTGTTTATAAAATCTGCAGACTATCCCAAATTAGAATCTCAAGCAAAAAAGGTGGCAGAAGAATTGAAAATTGATCATCTCTGGAATGATACGCCATTCAGGGAGGCTACAGAAGAGGACAAGGAAATGATACGATTAGCTTTAGATAGCGAAGATGCTATCCATGGCAATGGAGACTGGGCTGTGAAACTTGGCATCAATCTCTGCTACAGTGCTAATCTTAGCCGATCTCCTCTCTACAGTAAGCAGATGCCATACAATGCAGTTGTATATAATGCATTTGGATGTCGTTCCCCAGCAGACACTCGGGAAAATGATGGAAATGGTTCAGGTAAGCAGAAAAGGTTTGCTGTTGCTGGAAAATGGTGTGGTAAAGTCTGGATGTCGAGTCAGGTTCACCCGTTGTTAACTAAGAAGGATTTCAACGAACAAGATCCTACTTGGGTCGAGCCGGATGTGAAGGTCAGGAGACCATTGGATGCCACCCGAACTGCTGAAGCAGCTTCTACAAGTTGCAGAACTAGTAGAAAGAGGAAGCGTCGACCAGGAAATAGGTCAGCCATGAAAGCAAAATCTCCGAAGGCTGAAAGTTCAGAGGAATCTTCTGAAGATTCTTTAATCTGGAACTCTCTTAAGCAAGTTAGGAGTATGCTTGGAAACAAAAGAATGAAAAAAGAGACTCACGAACCTCAGAATAAAGGTGAGAGAAGCAAGAGAAGTTTTGAAGCGCTAACTGAAGACGAGGTGGAAGAATCTCCAATCAGGAATTCTATTAGGCACCAAGTCAAGAGTAAGCTTAGAAACAAGCGAACTGAGAAAGAGAATCCAGAGCCTCAGAATAAACAAGAGAGAAGCAAGAAACATTTTGACACACTCACTGAAGCCGAGGTGGAGGAACCTGTCGGGAACTCTCATAAGCAACTTAAGAGTAAGCTTGGAAGCAAGAGAGTGAAGAAAGACAATTCCATGCCTCAGAATACTCGGGAGAGAACCAAGAAACATATTGACCTACTCAATGAAGACGAGGTGGAAGAATCTCCAATCAGGAACTCTCGTAAGCAAGTCAAGAGCAAGCTTGAAAATAAGAAAACTAAGAAAGCGACTCCTGAGCCTCAGAATACTCGTGAGAATAACAAGAAACAGTCCAACTCATTTATTGAAAGCGAGCTGGAAGGTTGGCCGGGTACACGACTAAGACGAAGAACTTCAATCCCGTGTAAAGATTCAGGACTCAAATCAGCTAAAGCGAGACCCATACCGAAGATGCTGCATAAAAACATGATAATGAAGAAAAGTCAAGCCATGAAGGTTCCGTCTAGTAGTAACAATGCAAAAATAAGGGACGAGGAAATGGAGTACCCGTGTAACATGGATGGCTGCATTATGAGTTTTGGCTCGAAACAGGAGCTTATGTTGCACAAACGGAATATTTGTCCAGTCAAGGGATGCGGGAAAAAGTTGTTCTCACACAAGTATCTGGTGCAGCATCAACGGGTTCACACGGATGATCGCCCCCTGAAATGCCCGTGGAAAGGCTGCAAGATGACGTTTAAGTGGGCATGGGCTCGGACCGAGCACATAAGAGTTCACACGGGCGTTCGTCCTTATGTTTGCACTGAGGCGGGATGTGGCCAGACGTTTCGGTTTGTGTCAGATTTCAGTCGACACAAGCGCAAGACCGGTCATTCTTCGAAGAAATCTAAAGGATAATTCAACATGGCTGATGTTACTGTTGTTCAAGTAACAAAAATAGGATCAGTTTAACCTTGTAATTTTTTCATGGTGATGCAGATGATTCTGCTTTGTCGGGTTCCTCATTGGGCCCATTTATATACTTTCTAGGGGAATAATTGGAAAATGCTCCTCTACAAGAAAAATGGCTGACAGGGGCTTGACACCCTCGCATAACCGTCGGGGCTGCACGAATAAACAATTGGGAGGAAGAAGTGGTCCCACCCCCCAAATATGTGTGTAGGTCAACCCTTCTGTCATGTATTTTCTGACAGAGGAGCATGGTCCGAAATAATTTGTTCGACATTGGAAGTGAATTTTCTCCAAAAAGAGGGAATTTAAGACGCCAAAATTGGTCTTGAATAGAATAAGTTCCCCTTTGTGCATTTCTTTGACTAAACGTGTTCAAAAAAGTTGAGATTTACTCCGGAAATTTTGAATTAAAAGTAACAAAGAAAATCAGTAAATTTGAGTCTTACCTTGACCCTTGCATTAGTAATTTCGTATTGAATTTTTAATAATTATTGACTAGATGGTAGGTCACACTTTTAACCACTTTTGAAACACAATTAGTACGGATGAGTACAACATTAAAAACTTTTCTCCTTTTATGATAGAAAATTGAAAAAAATAAATAAATGTATACGTAACAACTTCAACTGTATCCTACGATCTCTAATTAGCTATGATCGAGGAATAATTTGCTTTTCGTGTACTCAACTTGATGACAACTGTCATGCTAGAAGCCCTGTGTAGGTTATAATAAAATATCGTTTGATTATATGCCTCCGTTTGTGTAAAATTATTAATAACTTTTTAGGAGGAATAATAATTAGTCATTTTGCATGGTTGAAATTAGTTTGATTTTGACTAAATAGAAGAAAGAACTTTTTAACAACTTTTTAGCAAAGCCAAACAAATGCTTGGATAATCTTTGATACTAATTTGATGGATGATTTAGTTAAAAAAAATGATAAACTAAGTTAACGTCAACAATATATTTCATGGGAGCCACATTTTTTCTATCCACTTTATCAAAATTTATTAAAATTTTGCCCATATTTGGTAGAAATATTTAATTTAAGCCAAAGTCAAAATTTATTGTTAACATCCGGTTATATCAAAATTTACAAAAAAATTAATTTTAGTTCCCACCAAAGAGGGATTGGATTTTTATCCAAACCAAATGGGCTTTACTAAATGGACCCTTTTTTGCCTGTGGTGTGCTGGGGAGGACCAATTGAGGGTCCATAGCGTGCCAGTGCCTCTACAGTCTACTGGACCTTTAATTTTTGGCATTGAAAAAAAGCCCCACATAATTTCTAATACAAACCTAGCAAAGTAAGTCTTTGAC